CCTAGATTGATTCTCTGATTTTCTAATTCTCCTTTTCCATCATTTTGCACATGTTTTGTACCTTTTGGGAGATTCCTTCAACTTTATTATTACTATTTTTTTACATCTTCCACTGAGTTTATTGTATCTTTACAATAAACTTTCATAATGAAGCACTTTTCCTCATTCTCATGATTCCCTTTGTTGTTGTTTTTGAATCTTATTCTTGTTTCATGCATATAGTCTCTTTCCTATCTCTCTGAAGAGGCTAACGATACTAATTATATGTTCATGGTAGCCGTCTGGTTTCTGAATTGCCTCTGCTTTCTTCAGATTGTTTTATGACTGTTTGTTATTATCTTCATCGTTCTCATGTTGGAAGGTTTCTTTAAGTATCTGATGTTTCCTACTGGTCTGTTTTTCTTTCACAGTGGTTTGTCAACTGGTAGGCTACATTTTAGGGTCATTAGGTGGCAAGTGGTTTTTTCATACACAACTGGTCACATTTGGAAGACAGGAAATGTAGTGCAAAGTCCAGGTCATTGAAAATGGGTCAATAAACTAGTATGCTGAAAGTTTAATGCTTCTCCCTCTGTCATTTAGGGTACATTTTTCTTGTTCCGTTCTTGAACTTGAGAAATCATCAAAGGGATTAATAAGTGATGACCCCTTTGAGGCCATTTCAGATGCTGTCTGAAACCTGGAATTGGGTGCACAGCTGGAACTTCAGCTCATTGAGCCTGAAGAGCACCCTCTTTTGGGATGGGGGTACAAACAACCAATTGGGAAAGATTAAAAGAAAGATTCCTTGGATAACATGACTCCCCCAGAATTGGGATTGATACAATTGTGCCAAGAAGTGTGGGAGTACTGTAGAGACATAAAATCCTAATACTACTATATGATCTTTGGGTTTGATTTTGAAGGGAGAAGCTTCCTATAATATCACTATGTATGCTCACCGCTGTTATTAGGAACCTGTCTGCCACAGGACAGCCATGTGGAAATAGAAAAATTACAGATAACACTGTCTGTGAATAAGTGAAAACGTCTTTCCCCTGCTCTGAAAACAAGTAGTTTTCACATTTTAAAGGACAGGTGCCAGATCTGTGCTTGCCTCAATTCCAGCCCTGGCCTGCCCCAGCACAGGCGTCCAGTCCCTCTCTGAACCCCACGGGGATGATTTTCTCTATTCTAGCCATTTATGTGTCCACCCACCTATCTTTATCCTACCTGCTTGTCAAAACCAAGTTTAAGAAGCTTTGTTCAACTATTGAATTTGACTGATTTCTCCTTTCCCTGAATAGCATAGCTGTTGGCATCACAAGCGTGTAGCAATTCATGACTTAGATTGTCCTCATGTTTAGGCACAAACACAAGTGCCTCCCAAGTGCTCGGCAGATAAAGTAAAGGAAGACTCCTCTGGGAGTCAGCTAATAGAGAGTTCTGGGGACTGGGGTGAACTGGAGTGTGGGCGCTCTCAGGGACAGGCAGCCTCCCCTTTGCTCCTGTCTGGCAGGAATGTAGGTCAAGGGTCATATATCTCCTAGTTTTTCAAGAGAAGCCAGGTACCCAGCTTTTTATGTGATTTTTTTTTTTAAATGATGGTTCAATTTTACAAAAACGCTGTGGAGGACAAACACGATGGTATTTCACACCATAGGTTGGCAGCCTCTGACGTCAGCTTTCTCTTTCCATAAGGTCATGAGCTTCTTGAACTCGTTGTTTCTGAATTCTCCACAGCAGCTCATGCATTAACCAGCATGCATGGTAGGTGCCTGGTAAACACTTGTCCAACTTTTTCCAGAACACCACATCCAAGCCAAACACAACGGCTGCCTCCGCTGACTCTCTGTAGCCTGTAGGTGATGCAAAGAGAAATCTTCCCCTAAAACTCACTTCTATATTAAAGTCTCCTCCTTTTCCTCCAATCCGGTGGGTCCTTAGGCATTTGCCTGGAGTAAATGACATAGTAATGTTTTCTGTCATTACATAAAACCCTCCCTCAACTTTCTGTTCCTCTAGAGCTGCTACTGATAGAGTGAATTTGCAGTCTCTCTTGTATCATCTCATTTGCTTCTCACTCATTCCTCCACATATACGAGCACCACTCCCCAGAAATCACTGTCAATAATAAGGCCACCAGTGACTTCTGGGATGTTATGTGCAGTGGCGCTCATCAGCCCTGCACATCCTCTTGTCTGACACGAATTCGTCTATAGCATTTGATGCTGTTGATTATTTTCTCCTTAAAACCCCTTTGTTCCTTAGTCTTTGGGACTCTACTCTCTCCTGCATTTTCTTCAATCTCCCTGGATTCTCCTCATTAGGCTCGTATTCCTGCCCAGTCCCTAAAATGCCAGTTTTCTGCAGGTTTCATTCCAGGTCCTCTCCTGTGTCCCTCCACACATTCACCCTGAATGACCGCATCCTCTCCCATGGTCTCCCCCGCCCCTCTGCCCCCGAGTACTGATGACACCCCGTTCTGCCATCTCCGCTCCAGACTCATCTCATCAGCTGCCTGCTGGCAGTGTCTGTCTCCATTGATGCTTCAGACTCCACATCCGAGGGTGAGCTCACCCTTCCGCCCCCCGCTGTGCCTCTTCCCGCATCCCTGGGCTTTGTGAGAGGCATGCCCTCACCTAGCGGCCCACCCATGAATTTCTGAATTCCGAGGCTCCCTCCCAGTGTAGGATTATCCAATAAGCTCAAAAAAAGGCACCTGCTTGAAACACCAAGAAAACAGAACCAGGGTGCCAAAAGATCATTTTGAAAGAGTTGATTGCTTAAAATAATGTACCAAAGTAGCCATCCTAGGGGAAAAAAAAAGAAAAGAGAACTTTTTTGCAATTCCTTACATCTATTTTATGGCTAGATATTGACGTTTATTTTGAATGATGAATACAGGAGGGTGAGTGGGTATAACCTTTTTCAGGGCTTAGAACTACTAAGTAAGTTCTTACCACGGCCCTGGTCATCCTCAGTCACCCCTCTCCACGGCCGGTTAGTTCCTAGGGACGGTCCATTTTGCCTCATTGACAGCCATTGAGCCAACTCTAATGCTATCTGAGGGCTTCTAATGTCTGCTGCCTGGGTTGCTACAGCAGCCTCTTGTCTAGCTCTCCCTTCCCACCCTTCCTCCACGGAGCTGTGTATCTGCTTCTGCATGTTACTCTCCTTCCTAGAATCTTTCCATTGCAACTCAGTAAATTCAAGGGACGTTCCAATGACTTAGCCTGGCTGACGAGGCCCTGCAGGCCCCACTTCACCTCCTCATCCCCCTGGACGACTTCTCTTCTAGCCTTCACTCTAGACCTCCCAGGCTTCGTCCAGCCCCGGCCTGAGGAAAGGGTGTGCAGGAGAAGTGAAAGGAAAACAGAAGAGTCTAAACCTGTGGTCTCCAGAAAAGAAAACACCCCCTCCCCGCCACCTCTTCAAAGCTTCCCAAGGAGGAATAATCCTCCTTTGGACCTCAGCCAAGAGGTCCTTCTCTTCTGTCCCTGGGTCACCTTGTGGTCATGGCTTTCGCCCATCAAGTGCAGGTAGATTCGTTACTGGGGCCACAGGCACAAGAGAGCCATTGTCTTCTTTCTCTCAATGCTCCACTCAGTGTGAGCATCTTCACGTCACTAGCCATGAGCCAGCCTCTCAGCTGACAGAACCCGTGTCTGCTGTAAACAGGGGCCGGCAGAGCACTCCGTGTGCCTCCGGTCAGGGCTCGGCCTTGGCCGGGGAGATGGCATTACTCACTGGAGCCCCATCTTCTCCTCTCCCCAACTTTGCTTGTCCATTTTCACCAAGGGGCTAAAATGGGGGACGGAGGGGGAGGCGGGAGAACACAGAGGCGGGGGCTGTTTGTTTTCTTCTTTGTGTTAACAATGTAACATCTGTTCCCCCGCCTGGCAGCTGGACCAAAGTGAAATGATGTGAGCATTCATTGCCTCTGGAGCAGAGGGTGGGGAGTGGGAGAAGGAGGGAGTGTGGGCTGAAGCGTCCCTGAACAATAGCTGCCACAACAATAATGAAAATACCTTCAACGCCACTTGGCAGGCGGCCCGGGGAACCCATGGAGCTGGGTAACTGGATGTCCCAGCTGATCCACATAGTGTAACTAATGCACTGAATGGTGATCTGTGTGCCTTTTTAAAAGAACCACCCAGTGAAAAGGATAGTGTTTACCTGGTAAATATCTATTTTGGCTCATGCGCTTTGATAATAGAAAACTTCTTTATTTACTTAAGAGCAAGGCTGAGAGGTCAAATGAGAGCTAGAAGGAAAAATAACATGCGAGTTGGGGAGAGAGCAGTGAGGGGAAAGAGTGACCCACATCCTCGTGGTTATCCCCCTGCCTTCTTCCTAGTCCTCGCCCTCTCTGATGGCTCAGGCTGGCACGCTCCGGGGCTCCGTCAGTGGACCTCCTCATCTCCCTTCTACCTAGACTCGCTCTCAGTGTTTTCATCTAGTCTGATGACATTAAGGACCTTTCTGTCAAGGTTCTAACTATAAGGAGCATTCCCAAGTTAGACATCTAGCATAGATCTATTCAAAGATCCAGTTGTCTGCTTATCATCTCCCATTGGGTATCTAATGATAAATTCAGCCAAACATCCCCCCACAGGAGTCAGGTGTCCTCCATCCTCTGAACTTGCTCTTCCATCGTCTTCTTCACCCCAGTTCACGGCAACTTCATCCTGCCTTGACGCTTCGCTTACTTCCATCCCACAACAAAACCATTGGCAGATCCTGTTGACTTTAACTTCCAAGGGTAGCTCAGCCCCCAGTCACTTCTCCCCACCTCAACTACTTGTCCCCCTGCTCCAAGCCATCATGAGTTCTTACCTCGATTATGACAGCAGCCTCCTGTCTGCTCTGCTTCCATTTGTGTGCTCCCCCTGTTCCCCATCCAGTCTATCCTCAAGAAAGCAGGGGTCCTGTGACATTGTTATGTAGAACAGCCTCTGTCTGCTCCAAACCCTCAGCAGCTCCCCTTCTCACTCAGCGTAGAAGCCAACATTCTCACAATGGCCTACGAGGTTCTCTGCAGCATGGCCTCCTGTGAGTGCCCTGACTTCTCACACTGGTAGCTGTGCTTCAGCTTTGCTGGCCTTTGTTTCTAGAATGTTCCAGGCACACTCCCAGGCCCTTCCCTGCACTGCTTTCCTCTCTGCTTTTCGATTCTCTTACTCTCTCGTCTTTAGGGCTTGATCTCAGCCTTTCCTAATCTTTTTTAGTTTGTTTTTCTCCATAGCACATCTCACCTAACAAGTTATATCTTCTCCTTATTTATTTTGACGATTGCTTTCTCCCGATGATGGTGGCAGTTGCATGATGGCGGGGAGTTTTGTTTTTGTTTTTTTTGTTCTCTGCTGTACTCCAGCACCTGCCTGGGACAGTGTTTAGCACATAGAAGGCACTCAATACATATCTGATGAATGAACTGATGAGTAAACAAATAAGTGGGTGCATGAACTCTGCTATTGTTTGTGGCCAGATTGCTAGAGGCTCATCCTACACGAACGAGACTGATTAATTAAGGCCTCCATTATAATCAGGGTATGGAAATCAGCATCTGCAAGATTCTTTTCATTGGCTTTTATTATCATATGTTTTTATAGCCTTTTATTATAGCAAAGTGCCAAATACTTCCTTTCTTCTTAAAATTTTGGTCTAACCTTCAATATACTGTATATCAATTAATATTAAGAAGTAGCAATATTAATCTAACAATATTAATTCCGTCTTCTGTTCCATCCACAGATAAAATGGAAAAATAGGAAAGGTACTGTATCCCTCTCCTTGCCAGTTGGAGCAAATATTTAATATACAACTTCTTGGCCCCAACTGAAAGGCTAATAGACATTTGACCCCTAAGTGTGAGTCACAGATCATATAACTTAAGAGCTCTTGAGATAGTTGCAGGAAGAGATGGTTGAAGGTGGTGTCAATAATAGCGGAGACTCCTTAAAATTGGTTGACTCTGTTTCAAACCAAATGAAGTAACAGTGAAGATTCAGTTGGGAGAATATTCTGATGTTCCAGGTTTATTCTGTTTCACTTGTTTTAAACATCAGAAATTTGAATGCAGCTAAAATGGTTTCTCTGTGTTCTTTAAAAACATTTCTGGCATTTTGTGAAAAGTATACAGTTATTGCAGCTAAATGGGTGTCAAAGACTCGCCTCAATTTGATTACCAAGTGACAGCCTATCAAGTTTTAGAAGATAGCAGTTATTTCTCTTGGAAGCCTGAAATTTTCTTGGCTAAGCACCTTCGCCTCCTCCGACTCTTTCTTATATGACAGGGCTGTTCAGTCTCTTTGGCACTCAGTGTGTTTGTCATTCTGGAAGCTGAACTTACCGCTTTAGATATAGATCGACGGGAGCAAAATAAAGTAGTACTTCCGCAGTCCTTCTTTGGAATTTTATATGTCCATTAATCCTAGCCACATCCGCATTTGTCTGTCAACCACATCACAGTATTGGAGTCAACTAAAACCTCTAAAATATCTATTTCCTTCTCCTAAACAAAAGTAATTTTAAAATCTTTTTATTTTATGATATACTCTCAGGAAGTTGCCAAGGGAGTACAGAGAGTCTCAAAGACACTTCCCCTAGTTCCCCCCCACCCCCACCCCCAACAGTTATATCTTATTTAACTCTCATATAATATCAAAACAAAAAAATTGACATTGGTACAATGTGTGGGTATAGTTCCATTCCATTCTATCTATTTTTTGACTTAAAAAAATCTGAGTCCATTAAATAACAAATCCTGTAACTGTATGTTTCTTCAGATGAGTCCTCTTTTTTCCCATATTGGAATCATTTGCAATTATATTGTTAGAGTTGTAGCCTGAAGAGATTCTCACTTCACTTGAACTTTCCTCTCTTAACTTTTCTTTTTTTTATTGGGGAATTGGGGGGATGGGAATAGCACTGGGGAATTGGGGGAAGGAGAACAGACAAGTTGTTGTCATTTTTTGTTGTTGTTCTTCAGTCTAGTTGTGGAGGACGTTGCTTCACTGGCCCAAGTTGGCACCATCATTGCGCTCTTCCCGGGCGAGGCACATCAGTCGCCGGCTTCTGGACGGCCGCTCACTGCGGCTGCTGGCCGCTCACTGCGGCTGCTGGCCGCTCACGCTGGCTGCTGGCTACACACGGTAGCCCATGGCAACCCACTGCCACAGGGGCTGCAGCCTACGCCGTCGCCGGCGACTCACGGCAGCCCAGCTCCAGGTTGAGCTGTTGTTCAGCATCTTAGCTGTGGAGGGCAGTGTCACTGGCCCTCACATGTGGGATCCGAACTGGGGCCCTCTGGCGTCCCAAGCCAGTTCTTAACCAACACGCCACTCAGCCGGCCCTTAACTTTTCTTAATCGTTGCTTCAACATAAAAACCCAACCAACCAAACACAAAACCCTCCACCTCAGTGTTCCCCATATCAGTAAAATGGTATTGCCATTCACTCAAATGTTCAAACTAAAATTCTTAGAAACATCATTGCTCCCCACCCCTTCACTTATGCCCTGTGTCTAATTCATTAGCAAATCCTGTCAATTTTACTTTCAAAATTATCCTGAAGCTATTTCTTATCACCTGCACTGTTAAAGGACTTCCCCAAGGTCGTGTAGCTAGCATGTAGAAGAACCAGGATGAGACTGCGGGCAGGCCAGCTCGACAGGACCCGACGCCATCCTGCTTTGTGTATTTGGAAGGCAGGCCCTATGCATAGCCCACACTTCTGGGGTCAGAAGTTAGGGTCCGCCTCCTCAAGGGTGAATTAGCTACATAAATTATTTGTAATTCTTCTGCATGGGGACTTGTCTTTTGTTTATTTATTTAATCATTTATTTACATCAGTATGGACTCATATTTATTTATTTTACACCTTGGGTTATAATTTAATAATACTTTATTTTGTTCAAATTATTCCAGTTTTGGTTATTTTGCTCCAGTGTCCCTTTGACTCACATTAGTGTGGATTTTTTTGTTTTTTTGAGCACTTTTTTATTCTGGCACCACAAGATGTTTTAAGCTTATCTTGTGTATTTTCTGCCCTAGTCCTACCATCAGCCATTTCTCGAAAGGGCTTGCTCTATTATTAAATAACACTTACCACTGTTTGACATTATATATTTATTTGTATATTTGCTTTCTATTCCTCTCTCCCCCAGATGAACTGTGAGTTGCAAAAGGACAGGAATTTCATTTTATTCAATGCCATATTCCTTGCTGTAGAATAGTGCCTCGTCCATATAACGTGCTCAGTCAGTGTTGTTGAATCAATGTCTGACCATGGGACCAGTGGTCTTTTTTCTCTGAACTTTAATTTGCCCTCCAGAAACTGAGAGTACACAGCTCACCATTAACTTGTTTGGCTGTTGAGAGTTTTGGCTATCATGGTTATTTTTTCCCAAATATTCTCTTTATCGCTATGATCCTAATGACTTCTTACTTGTTGATCAAAATTAAGTCTAGAATAACAGTTCCTTTATTGTTTCCTCAATTGCATGTGCAAAAAAAAAAAAAAGGAATTTAGAAAAGCTCTGTTTTTAGAAAACAAAGGAGACTTGCAACAGATTTCCAGATATCTGAAAATAATGTCTCATCACATCCATATTTTCTGTGCTGTGTTAGGTAGGATAGCATCATTCTCAGTCCAGCCATGTTGCTGCTACTGGTTTTTCTTATCTTTAGACTTTGCCTAAATAGTCCCCATTTGGACTTCTGTCCTTGAGTTCATGGGCGTCAAACTTGCCATGTCCAGTATGTCCAGCCAATATGCAAAAGCACACCCATTTATGGCCCTGTTACAGTCACCAGACACCATCCACCAAGTCTCTAGAAAATCCTTAGGACTGTATTTGCATTCTTATATATGAAAATGTCCAGCTTATTTCATTACGTAAACTCTGGCATTACTACTGAACCCTGTTATGTATGCCCTCTCTTTAGCCATTTTCCCCTGTGGTCTTTCTTTGCTACTCCTGGTAGCCTTCATAGAATCTGGTTTTGTATTTTTTTTTTATCTAGGAATGTCTCCTCACTCTTCAAATACCAGCCGAAGACCCCCTTGTTTACCTAAATGAATATTCTTTCTGTAACTTCCTTCCTCATTCTTCTTAGACTCACTCTAACTGGCCAGAATTTTATTCACTCTTATTAGCTATAGGTCAGAATGCTAAATCCTTTTGGATGTTCTCTTTTGTTTTTGTTTTTAGTGCATTTTCTTAGGCATCTTTTCTCTTCCCGCGTTCTGAGATGGACTTGGAAGGTTGATAGCAAGTAAGGGCTAGGGAGAAAAGTTGAAGCAGACAAAAAGTATGCAAAATGACCGCACAGGGGTTGACATTTTAGATAACATGGCCAGGGAAGGCCCCACTGAGAAGGGGACTTTGGGTAAAACGCTGAAGGAAGTGAGAGACTGAACCATGTATTGCCTGGGGAAGAGTATTACTGACAGAGAGAAGAGCAAGTGCAAAGGTCCTGAGGCAGGAGAATGCCTGGAATAATCTAGAAATAGCAGAGGAACCAGTGTGTCTGGAGCCAATTGAGGGAGAAGGAAATTGGTTGGAGAGAGGATGAAGGAGCTAATGGGAAGGGAAGCCGGTCACAGTAAGGACTTGTTTTTATGCTGAGCGAGTGATAGAACTTAAATGTTAGCTTTTACCATTTTTTTCATAAATCCTGAGACATGTCCTGAAACTGAATCTTACAATGACAATAGCCAGCCTTTTCTCTTTCTTAGAATCAGCACTATCTTAGGTTTGATGAAATAGGTATTAACGCTTACTAGAGTACAGGAGAGTCAGCGACGTTAGCACACACAAATTTACACGTAATAGTTTATGAGTTAATTCCTAATGTTTTGTTTGAATAACTTGAATAGGTTCAGAAGATATCCATTTATATTAGCAATTAAGTTTATGAGTTAATTCCTAATGTTTTGTCTGAATAACTTGAATAGGTTCAGAAGATATCCATTTGTATTAGCAATTATGTCAATGTATCTACTCGATAATAAAAAAAAGACTTTCAAAAAATTCCACCTTTTTATTC